GGGAACAGAGAGGACCAAGGATAATTAATTACTCCACAGGAAGCATATGCTCCCTTTATGTGAATACATAATAGGTGCAGAATCCATAAAATAAATGAATGATACCAAAGAGAAGAAAGCAAAGGCACAAATTAGCAGCTGTAGTGTTTAGATCTGAACTTAATCAATACAAGATCAGAAACACAGGTTTAGCCAAATAGAGCTTTTGGATAGACACAAAATGGGCTTCTCACCAAGGAAGAGCCTAGAACCAGGGGGGTTCTGCCATTTTGAAACTTCCAATCACCTGCATTCCAATGCCCTGGGGTGTTTGTCGATGGCAGTGGTGAGAAATGCACAGGGGGGAATCAATAAAATGTGGTGACCCCTGCTGAAATAGACATTCAGTTGTTTATGTGACCTTATTCGAAGACACATGGAAAACTCACCTTAAAAATCACCTCTAGGCCGCCAGGTGTGGCTCAGTGGTTGAGCGTCGACCTAGGATCCAGGAGATCGAGGTTCAATTCCCAGTCAGGGCACATGCCCATGTTTCGGGCTCGATCCCCAGCAGGGGGCATGCAGGAGGCAGCCGATCAATGACTCTCATCATTGATGATTCTCTCCCTCTCCCTTCCTCTGTGAAATCAGTAAACATACATTAAAAAAAAAAAAATCACCTCTAATAGCCTACTTTGTTTTTTGCATTTTATAACACACTTCTAAAGCAATCAGGGAATGATGAAACATGCTACTGCATGCATGCCCACCTAGTTTCTGAGATGCAAAATCAGACATTATCTTAGAGACAAAGGAGCTGCCCATCAGACGGTACCTCCTGACCTATGAGAACCTTCTTCAGTCTTGAGAGATTGAACCAAGAGAATCCACCTGATCCAGAATTGGAACAAAATTAACTAAATTAGGACAGTGCAGGTTTTCTGAGCCAAACAGGAGAAGCATTGAGAGCTACCATATTTGCATGTTCCCGGCACCCTAGATCAAGTGCTTTCAACACTCTCATGTAATATCACCATGCTGGGATCCAGATATTATCCCCACTTTGCAGATGAGTTGTTTGAGGTTCCACAATTATATTGCCCGAGGGCACCCAGCCACAGTGCTGACGGAGACTCCTTTCTCAAATGAAGGGCCAGTTATCGCATCATGAACCCATCCTTTCCAGATATGAAACGTACCTGTATCATCTAACTCCTTACTAACCTGTTGCTGGACTTCCTACCTGTGCTGACATGTGTTAACTTTCCTGTCTGGGCTCAAGCCATCTGCTGAGTTGCAAACAATAGGTCTTGTTGCCGTGAGAGCTGCCTCTGAAACTCTATTGAAGAGCTTCCGGTAAATGAGCAGATATTTCAACACCTTCCTTGTGGCTTAACTATACTGTCCCCTGGGTCAACCTGGCACAGCCAGATTTAACCGAACCTCCACCTTCCCCATTCTCTTTTTCTAATCGTCACCCAAAGATATGTTATTATTGACTTCTTTGTTTAGAGGGAGGGAGAAACATAGATGTGAGAGAAACATCAACCGGTTGCTTCCTGTACATGCTCGGACCTGGGATCAAACCTGAAACCTGGGGATGTGCCCTGACAGGGAGTCAAACCGGCAACCTTCTGGTGTACGGGATGGCGCTCCAACCAACTGAGCCACTGGGCCAGAGCCACCTTCCCCATTCTTGATGGCTCTTAGGTAAGTTCTACTGCCAAAAAAGTACAACTTCTCCACCTGGGCAGGGGCGCACCCCAAGCTTTCTCCAGGCCTTCTCTCCAAATGCATGTACACTATGCAAACAATTCCTTTCCCAGAACACTTACGTTTAAACAGTTTCTAGGGGTACCAACTAAAGCAGCAGGCCAGGGGGAAAGGGGGAAGTCTGGCCCCCTCCCAGTTTTATTGAGATGTAACTGGCCACTTATTCAAGTCAAGACGTTGACATTCCCTTAAATCATCCATCAAGTATCAAAACGGAGTTCTGACTACGCGAGACCCAGAAAGACGCAGGGCAGGCGGGTCTCAAGTTCAAAGAGCAAGTTCTACAGCAGCTGTATTGCCTGCCTCCTGTGCTCCATAAACGGGAGGACTCGCTATACGATGGTGGTGCACTACCATCACAACCCACCCTTCAAGAATGGGCTTCAAAACCCGAAACACTAATTCAAAGAACATACACACTCCTATGTTCATCGCAGCATTATTTACAATGGCCACGATTTGGAAGCAATCCGGTGTCCATAAGAAGATGAGTGGATAAAAAAGCTGTGGTACATATACAATGGAATATTACTCAGCCGAAAAAAAGAAAAGGAAAAAAAAGAGGAAATCTTACCCTTTGCCACAGCATGGATGGACCTGGAGAGCTAAGTAAAGTAAGCCAGTCAGAGAAAGACAAGTCCACATGACCTCACCCACGTCAAACAGGACAGACTCATAGAGAGCAGGCTGACAGCCGTGGTGGGGAAGGGGGAACTGGGTGTGGGGGTGTGCATTGAGCAAAAATGAAAATAAAGAGAAAAAACCTCATGGACAGGGACAACGCTGTGATGACTGCCTGGAGGTGGGGGGTGGTGGTGAAGGAGAGTTTAAGGGGTGAATGGTGATGGACGGAGATTTGACTTGGGATGCCGAACACATAATAGTGTACAGATGATGTGTTGTAGAATTGTGCACCTGAAACCCGTATAATTTTACCAAGTGTCATCCCAGTAAATTCAATAAAAAATAAAATGGAAAGCTTTTATAAAAAGAAAAAAGAAAAAAAAAAAAAAGGGTTTTAAAGAGTAAATAGACACACACCACACTTATGGAATCAATCACAATCTTTGTGCTAGCAATCCCGCACGCACGAATTTACCGAGTTAATTCAAATGCCTAAAAAAACTATGCCACAGCCCAGCCAGTGTGGCTCAGTGGTCGAGCACTGACCCATGAACCAAGAGGTCACCCGTTCAATTCCCCATCAGGGCACATGCCCAGGTTGCAGGCTTGATCCCCAGTAGGGAGCATGCACGAAGTAGCCAACCCATGATGTTTCTCTCATCGATGTTTCTCTCTCCCCCCTCCCTCTAAAAATCAATGAAACATTTAAAAAAACTTCTTTAACAAAATAGTTTGAGGGGAACAGTAGTCTATCAATAGCTAATTAGACATTTTTATAGTATTGCAGATTTAGAATTAGCCAGAAATGGCCTTTACCTTGGAAAGATGTCTAAAACATGTTGGAGAGGGGCAAAGACATATATTTTTGTTTTTAAGCAAAATAATTACCAGACATTTGAACCTAAAAAGACATAAAACCTAACCATGGGTTAATATTAAGAGAGAGAAAAGGTAAAAACTGTAGACACCAGGGCATACTAGCTTAAATTAGGTACTTTCCATTTCAGTTATCTGAAGGACTGGCTTAATCTGTCTGAGTTAGTAGAGTGGCTGCTTAACCCTAAATTTAGAGCTGAGGCAAAAGGACAGACCTTGAGAGTCGGGGGAAGGGGGGACCTCCCACTTGCAAAGGGGTTGACATGCAGAGCTCGTCAGGTCAAAGGTCATCAGCACACAACCGCCAGCCCTTTCCTGGATGTCAAGCGAATACACTCCAGGACAGTGTGGGGTCCACACCCATGAAGGCTCTCCCAGGACCTCATGCTGGTTCTCGGGGATTCGCAAAGACAAACACAGCAAAAGGTGGGCAAGATCCTTACCCTGTTCTTGCCCTGACTCCCTCCAATGCCCACTTTTTCCACTACCCTAAGAAGTTTCCCTTGGAATTAAGTGCCACCTCCTATTTGGCTCTCAGCCCATTCCCTTCTAAGCAGCCCATAAGTATGAAATGGTTAAAAATATTGTCTCCCTGCCCAATGACTTGTGCCAGGTTAGGATGGGTTGAAATGTGGGGTCATCTAGGGTATGACAAGCCCTCTACAGTCATAAGTAAACACAAGCAAAAGTCCTCTAGCGAGATCACTCTGATAAAACTTTTATGCCTTAAAAAGGAAAGATTCCAACCAGCTAGTATCTGGTTATGTGCTTGGGAAGTGGGTCAGGCATGGAGGTAACCGACATACAGCTTCATTCTAGGACCTGGAGGGTCAGGAGGCACCTGGAAATCATTCAGTCAGGTAAGGATTACTAGAAAAACTTACAGACACACCTGGTGGGGGGAAAATATCCAAAATTTATTCTCCAACAGTCAGCATCAGCAGGTAAAACTACAGGGTTTTCTCCGTAGATCATACATTCACAAGGCATAACAGTGAGAGAGCCTCCGGCATGTCCTCTGTAACAATATCCACTTCACAGTGTAAACAGGTACTATATTGTGTTCACTTACAATTCCAGAAGGAAAGGCACAACTTGGCAAAAAAAAAAATAATAATTTTTTTTTGGATCCTAAAGTCAGGTGCAATAACTCAGAGACCAACTTTTGATCGAAGTCTTGACCTACATTTCCACACTGAGGGGGAAAGGCTCCTCCACCCGGAAATTAGGGTCCTTCCTTCTTCCCAGTTAAACCTTAGAGCAGTTTCATTGTTGGATTGATATTACACACACAAAAAGGGCACTAAAAAAATCAGACACCTGGAACGTCCAGCTGCTCCCAACAATACATCGACTCTTAGGTTTAAGACCGGGACTAGGAACACTTTCAGCGGTCACAGAACAGGAAGAGAGATTCTAAGGCTACAAAAATAAAAAATAAATGAGGTAGATAAATTAAAGCTTTCATACCCAGGACTCGCCTGTTCCAACTTCGTAGCCTTCATGCAATACTCGGGGGGGGG